TTGAGTTTTTGCTCGTTGAAAATGAATGAAGTGACGAAGCTCCGACTGTTTTTGATGAGTTGTGTAACTTGAATGATTCATCTGATCATCTACTCGAGTATTTTGATCTCCACTTAAGTCATTGGATTAGTTGAGTACAATAGAGTATTTTGGATGAATGAAAAAGTGCACTTCCCTTTTTGATTGATGAGTGAATTATTGATCGATGACTGTTGTGCTGTGGACGATTAGAATCTGTTTGTAAAACATGTTTGAGTTGATTCATGTGGAGTTCACTGCTGTGGACCATTAGAAAAAGTCATTTCAAGTTGTGTTGATACAAGAGACTGATTAGAGCAGCACATGAAAATACGTTTGTGTCACGTTCAGGTTTTTTACATCAACTTGTTTTTCTTTTGTACAAAACCTGGAACAGAAAATCTTGTAAATAAGTGTGTAAAGACTAAAGTATTAGTGCAGAGTCACAGAGCAGAAGCAGCACAGTTCAGTGTAAACTGTTGTTAACGGTCAGACCCCGTGACTCAGCAGAGCTGTTTTTCTGTCTTTACACAATTAAAGTTGTTCTGTTCCACCAAAGTCCTGGATTCTGTCTTCACGTGTGTCACATTTATCAGATCTGCTCAACATGTGGATTAGAATCACAGCAACAAACTTGTTCAGTGTCTCTGTTTCTGTTTCCTTCATTTGATCTTTTATTTTGCTACAGACAGAAAAAGTGTGACTTTAAAATCAAATACAAACTGAGTTGATTCTTTCAGTTAAATGGAACTTGCTCATAAAACACTGAAACATTTTTACACATGATTCACTCTGTGTCATTTTGTGTATTTACTTTGAGTTTTTTATTTGAACAGTTTAAAAAAGTGATTTTACTTGACACTTTCCTTTACTTTGTTCTAATGCAGAGCTACAAGATCCACCAACAGAATGACCTTCACATGTGACCAGTGTGGGAAGGTGTGTCCAAAAGCTTACGCACTGAAAAAACACTACAGAACTCACACAGGAGAAAGACCGTACAGCTGTGACCAGTGTGGAAAGGGATTTTCATCGTCAAGTAACCTAACGTCACACAGGAGAATCCACACAGGAGAGAAGCCGTACAAGTGTGACCAGTGTGAGAAAACATTTACAGTGTCAAGCAACCTGATATCACACAGGAGAACTCACACAGGAGAAAGACCGTACAGCTGCGATGTTTGTGAGAAAACATTTTCACACTCAAGTAATCTCGAAATACACATGAGAACCCACACCGGGGAGAAACCGTTCAAATGTGACGTTTGTGAGAAAACATTTTCACAGTTGGGCAACTTAGTATCACATATGAGTATCCACACAGGAGAGAGGCCACACGAGTGTGACCAGTGTGGAAAGGTGTGGCCAGATGCTCACGCACTGAAAGTTCATTATAGAACTCACACAGGAGAAAAACCGTACAGCTGTGACCAGTGTGGGAAAACGTTTACATTCTCAAACAGCCTAAGATCACATAAGAGACTCCACACAGGAGAAAAACCGTACAGCTGTGATGTTTGTGAGAAAACATTTACACACTCAAGTAATCTCGAAATACACATGAGAACCCACACCGGGGAGAAACCGTTCAAATGTGACATTTGTGAGAAAACATTTAGACAGTCAAGTAACTTAGTATCACATATGAGTATCCACACAGGAGAGAAGCCATACGAGTGTGACCAGTGTGGAAAGGTGTGGTCAACATCTTCTGACCTGAAAAGACACTACAGAATCCACACAAGAGAAAAAACGTAGAACTGTGACCAGTGTGGGAAGATATTTTCATTGTCAAGAAACCTGATATCACATAGAAGAATCCACACAGGATATGAATGTGACCAGTGTGAAAAGGCTTTTAGAACATCCCAGGAGCTCTCCAGTCACCACCGAACACACACAGGAGACAAACCAGACGAGTGTGGAGAAAGAGGAGAAGGACTTCAGGTCTGTGAGGAACCGTCTGAAACACGTCCAAATGTTCCAGAGTGAAGAGAAAAGCTGCAGCTCTGACCAGTGTGGGACGACTTTGAGACGAGCCGCAGCCTCTGGAACACACTAAAGGAGAAAGAGCCGCTGAGGCCGGTGTTCCGTCCAAATGAGCTCCAGCAGCCGAAATCGACAGCGACGTCTATCGATTCACGCTGCGCCGTCGAAATAAGCTCCTTCTGTTTTTCTGTTCACTGTTGTATTGATCCAATAAAACCAAACCCGGAACCTGAGCTCCAGTTTGACTCGTGTTTGTTTGGATCAGAGACGTGAGTTTGACGTTTCACACGTGAGAAACTTTAGACCAGGGGTGTCCAAACTTTTTTCGTCAAGGGCCACATTTCTAAACACAGATGAAGCAGAGGCCGATCGAGGACCGTAGACTGGTGCTCAGTACAGGGAATCATTGAAATATGTGCCTGTTTATCATGTTAGAATGAGCCATCAGTCTTTATTCATGCTAAAATCCTTAAACTACACACGAAATATTAAATATTTGCTTTATCAAGGTAGATTTTCAAAAAACTTGCAGCAAAAAATTACTTTTTAATTGATGCAAGGTCATTTGGGCCAATTTACCTGGAAGCCTGAGGGCCAAGAAAAATGTGTCCGAGGGCCGCATTTGGCCCCCGGGCCATAGTTTGGACATGCCTGCTTTAGACGCTCCAGTCACATCTCAACTCATTTATGTGAGTGTGTGCGTGGGTCATTAGTGTGCGTGGGTCATTAGTGTGCGTGGGTCATTAGTGTGCGTGGGTCATTAGTGTGCGTGGGTCATTAGTGTGCGTGGGTCATTAGTGTGCGTGGGTGTTAGTGTGCGTGGGTCATTAGTGTGCGTGGGTTGTTAGTGTGCGTGGGTCATTAGTGTGTGTGTGCGTGGGTCGTGTTGTGTGGTCATTTAGTGTGTCATTAGTGTGCGTGGGTCATTAGTGTGCGTGGGTCATTAGTGTGTGCGTGGGTCATTAGTGTGCGTGGGTCATTAGTGTGCGTGGGTCATTAGTGTGCGTGGGTCATTAGTGTGCGTGGACAAGTTTGTAGAATCAACATGATTTAATCTTTTATATGAAAATGAGCCGAGGAACAAATCCTGACGAGAACTTGTCCCAAATAATTCTCCACTAGAGGCGTCTCCTCGTCTCCCCTCGTCTCCTCTCCTCGTCTCCTCTCCTCGTCTCCTCTCCTCGTCTCCTCTCGTCTCCTCTCCTCGTCCTCGTCTCTCTCTCTCTCCTCGTCTCCTCACCTCGTCTCCTCTCGTCTCCTCTCCTCGTCTCCTCTCGTCTCCTCTCGTCTCTCCTCTCCTCATCTCTCTCTCCTCGTCTCTCCTCTCGTCTCCTCTCCTCCTCTCCTCGTCTCCTCTCGTCTCCTCTCCTCGTCTCTCCTCTCTCCTCTCCTCGTCTCCTCTCGTCTCTTCTCCTCGTCTCCTCTCCTCGTCTCCTCTCCTCGTCTCCTCTCGTCTCCTCTCCTCGTCTCCTCTCGTCTCCTCTCGTCTCCTCTCCTCGTCTCCTCTCCTCTCTCCTCGTCTCCTCGTCTCCTCTCTCTTCTCCTCGTCTCCTCTCGTCTCCTCTCGTCTCCTCTCCTCTCCTCGTCTCCTCTCTCGTCTCCTCTCCTCGTCTCCTCTCCTCGTCTCCTCTCCTCGTCTCCTCTCTCCTCTCCTCGTCTCCTCTCCTCGTCTCTCCTCTCTCCTCTCGTCTCGTCTCCTCTCCTCTCCTCTCATCTCCTCGTCTCCTCGTCTCCTCGTCTCCTCGTCTCCTCTCCTCGTCTCCTCTCGTCTCGTCTCGTCTCGTCTCCTCGTCTCCTGCAACAGTCTCTTGTTAAAGTGACTTTGGAGGAACAAATCATCAGAGTTTAGACTTTTGAGTTTTATTTCAGGAACAAACCGTTCACTTTCTTTCTTTTTATTCTGATTATGTTGGAGAGTTTCATGTGTCAAAAGTCAAAAATACAAATGCTTCTGTTTGTTTGTCGTGAATCATTTGTGCTGCATGTTTTATTTTTTTTTGCATTAATAAAAACATTTTAAGCCTAAACTTGCGCTCGTGCTTTAATCTCGTCTCCGGGTTTCGAGCCGAAGAAACGAAAAGTCCCAAACCCACAAAATATAAAACATCACAAATGTGAAGAAGAAAAATCTGCCACAAAACTCAGACCCCTGGTTTACCTGGTTTAGTCCTGGTTTTCTCCCTCCTCACCAGTCCTCTGGTTTAACCTGGTTTAGACCTGGTTTACCTGGTTTCCTGGTTAGTCCTGGTTTAGCCTGGTTTAGGTTTAGTCCTGGTTTACTGGTTTACCTGGTTTAGTCCTGGTTTAGTCCTGGTTTAGTTTCCTGGTTTAGTTTACCTGGTTTACCTGGTTTAGTCCTGGTTTAGTTTCCTGGTTTAGTCCTGGTTTAGTAGACCTGGTTTACCTGGTTTAGTCCTGGTTTAGTCCTGGTTTAGTCCTGGTTTAGTCCTGGTTTAGACCTGGTTTAGACCTGGTTTAGTCCTGGTTTAGACCTGGTTTAGACCTGGTTTAGTCCTGGTTTAGTCCTGGTTTAGTCCTGGTTTAGTTCTCTGTTTAATCCATTTATTTCAATAAAGTAACTGTAATCCAATTCCCACTCACTGAAACAGTAACTGTAACTGAATACAGTTACTCATCATTTGTACTCTGATTACTCTGTACATGTAATCTGTTACTCCACAACACTGGGCTTAATAAGAGACCGATTTGAGTGAGCAGCTTGTTTGGATGTTCTACTTGTTTGGATGTTCTACTTGTTTGGATGTTCTACTTGTTTGGATGTTCTACTTGTTTGGATTGTTTGGATGTTCTGCTTGTTTGGATGTTCTGCTTGTTTGGATGTTCTGCTTGTTTGGATGTTCTGCTTGTTTGGATGTTCTACTTGTTTGGATGTTCTACTTGTTTGGATGTTCTACTTGTTTGGATGTTCTACTTGTTTGGATGTTCTACTTGTTTGGGATGATTTCTACTTGTTTGGATGTTCTACTTGTGCCTCATGTTCCTTTAAGCCCCGGAGGTCACTTCCCTGTCTCCTCCTCCTCCTCACTGTGGTTCATGTTCAGTTCTGCGTCAGGGACAAATCTGTCAACTGGAGCATTTGTCGGATTCCAAACTGTCTCTTCTTCATCGGTGAGTTTGTTGAGCAACAATCGGTGAATAGTTTTATGTTTAGTTCGTATTTGTGTTGTTAAATCGCACTTAGCGTCTTGTTTGTTCGCTCCGCTCCCATTCAAAACCCCTGTGGATATTAGCTCCGTTTACTCGCGCTGGGACTTTTACAAACACACATTATACTCAGGAAATATTGAACGTTTTGAAGTTTACAGTCAAGCCGAATTGTAGATAAGAATCTAATTGACTAGAAGCGTTTATTGATTCATTATTTTCTCTTTTGAATTGATGGAGTTGGTTTTGTCAACTTTTGGAGCGAACGTTAAATAAGCTCTCGTCTTCCAGTTTTCCTGGAGGTTGGTTTATAAATTCATCTTTTCACAAACAAACTGCTGCATTTGGAATAAAAAAACAATTAAACATCGAAATAAATGATGATGTTTTAGATCCTGGTTTGACAAAGGGACAGTTTGGGTCAATCAACTGATCAATGCACAAAGACAAATGTTTTCATACAATGAATTTAAAACCATTGATCAGTTTCCAAAGAAACAATCAAAATACATCAAAATGTGTCAAACAGACATGTCCAAACTATGGCCCGGGGGCCAACTGCGGCCCTCAGACAGACTTCCAGGGGAATTGGCCCAAATGACTTTGTATTAATTAAAAAATAATTTTTTACTGCAAGTTTTTTGAAAATCTTCCTTGATAAAGCAAATATTCATATTTAATATTTAGTTAGTGGTTTTAAGGATCATGAATAAAGACTGAGGATGATTCTAACGTGTTCAACTTGCACATATTTCAGTTCTTCCCTGTACTGAGCTCCAGTCTGTGGCCCTCGATCGTCCCTCTGCTTCGTCTGGGTTTGGACTCTCCTGGTGTCAAACTAAACCTAAAGACACTTTCCGTTTGTTGCAGGAATCTCAACTCAATTATCAGCTCCAGAAACTTAATAACGATCTATATTTGGGAGAGGTCAATATTCAAATAAAAACCTGTTTGAATAAAAACATTAGAAATCTGATTAAAGCTCCAAACAGACGCAGCAGCTTCACACTGGAGCTGATGCTCGGGGAGGTGGACTGGAGCCGGGCCCACAGCCTCTGCATTTACTACAAAATAAAGAAGTTCATTTCAAAATTCTCCATAATATTTACCCAACCAAAAAAACCTTAGAAAGATTCAGATTAAAGATTAAAGTGTGATTTCTGTCGCAGTGAAATAGAAACAATCAGTCACCTGTTTCACCACTGCACAAACAACAAGAACATCTGGACTCACAAACAACAACTCATCCAAAACCAGAACCAAACCCTCGATCAACCTCCAGGAAACAGACGTCCTGTTTGACTTCAGCAGCTCCTCCGTCCCCAAACATCTTCAACTCTTCATCCAGACTCATCATCCTGACAAAATATCACAAACACAAAACCAAACGGGCTCAAAATCAACTGAATCTTCATCAATATAAGAACGAAATCCAACAAAACTTTCAAACCATAAAACAGGTCCAAAACAAAAAAGCCGTTAAAACTTACAATATCTATAAAAAATATAATACAACTTTATTTCATTTATGACATTATTATTATTATATTATTATTATTGTTGTTGTTGTTGTTTAGTTTTGGTTTCGTTTCTTCTGCTCCTGGATGAGAACATCACAACATGTTTATATGTTTATGTGTATTTTCCAGCCTCACTCCTGGGCTGTGCAAAAATATTGGAATATCGATATATCGTATCGTTTAATGTGATGATACAGTATCGATATTTCACCAAGAGTATTTTTAGGTGTGTTTTACTCAATTATTTTGTTAGTTTTGTTGTTTGTGGAGGGAAAGGAAACTCATTTATGCGACACATTTGATATTTTTACTGTTTTGACGATTAAAATGTTTGTGTTTCATATGAACTTTGCACAAGAAGTAATTTAACAAACACTTTTAGTATCACAGCCACGATTTAGTCTTTATTTTTTATTGAACCGTATCGAATCGATTTGAAATATATCGTATTGAATCGAAAGTGCAGTGTATCGAGGTGTGTATCGTATCGGCAACTTCTTAATGATACCAGCTCTAGTCCCTCCTGCTGTAACTGTGAACTGGACTTTGCATTGATGCAACAACAATCTGCACTTTATAAAGTAAAAACATTTGTTGTTATGTTTTTGTAATTTAAAAAAATATATCAATAAAAAAATAAAAAAAAGCTCTCGTCTCCATTGAGTTTTTGCTCGTTGAAAATGAATGAAGTGACGAAGCTCCGACTGTTTTTGATGAGTTGTGTAACTTGAATGATTCATCTGATCATCTACTCGAGTATTTTGATCTCCACTTAAGTCATTGGATTAGTTGAGTACAATAGAGTATTTTGGATGAATGAAAAAGTGCACTTCCCTTTTTGATTGATGAGTGAATTATTGATCGATGACTGTTGTGCTGTGGACGATTAGAATCTGTTTGTAAAACATGTTTGAGTTGATTCATGTGGAGTTCACTGCTGTGGACCATTAGAAAAAGTCATTTCAAGTTGTGCTGATACTGATACTGATACTGATACTGATACTGATACTGATACTGATACTGTGGTGCCGAGGCTCTGGATTAAATAAATCTCATGGATAAAAGTCTATGTTTGAGGCGCGGACGATAAAACTTTAAAGGAAGTGGGATGATGAACTTTTTATTTGTCAGTGTGATAGACGTGGCCTAATATCATTTCAGCTCAAATCTTTCCTTTGTCTTTGTTTTATTTTATTTATTACATGCAAACTAATTAAAGGGCAAAAGTTTTAAAGAACGATCAGTGACTCAGATCATATTTGAACTGATATTCTCCTGCGCTCAGTGTGGGGACACAACTGTTGTGATGAAAAGACTGAGAAGAGTTTGTGACTCAACTTTATGTTGCAGTACTTGCAGTATCAGATACTGCAGTATTCAGGATACTGCAGTATTCAGGATACTGCAGTATTCAGGATACTGCAGTATTCAGGATACTGCGTTCACATGCCCCAGTATCCAGGTACTATCAGAATCTCCCAGATACAGTGTCGTGTTTCTCCTAACGAGACTCTGATGTTCACATAAACACACTCACTGTCTGACTTGATGTGTGTTTACTGTGAGTTTCTTTATTTGAAGAGTTTAAAAAGTGATTTAATTTGACACTTTCTTTTCCTTTGTTCTAACGCAGAGCTACAAGATCCACCAACAGAATGACCTTCACATGTGACCAGTGTGGGAAGGTGTGTCCAAAAGCTTACGCACTGAAAAGACACTACAGAACTCACACGGGAGAGAGACCGTACAGCTGTGACCAGTGTGAGAAAACATTTTCACTTTCAAGCAGCCTGATATCACACAGGAGAATCCACACAGGAGAAAAACCTTACAAATGTGACGTTTGTGAGAAAACTTTTACACAGGCAAACACTCTAGAAATACACATGAGAACCCACACCGGGGAGAAACCGTTTGAATGTGACGTGTGTGAGAAGACATTTTCACAGTTAAGCAACCTCATGTCACATTTGAGAGTCCACACAGGAGAGAAGCCGCACGAGTGTGACCAGTGTGGGAAGGTGTGGCAAAAAGCTTCTGACCTGAAAGTCCACTACAGAACTCACACTGGAGAGAGACCGTACAGATGTGACGTTTGTGAAAAGGCATTTTCTCGGTCAGGGACCCTCGTGTCACACATGAGAGTCCACACAGGAGAGAGGCCGTACAAGTGTGACCAGTGTGGGAAAACTTTCTCTAAATCATCCCATCTCAGTAAACACAAGAGAACTCACTCCTGGCAGATCCTGTACGAGTGTGACCAGTGTGAAAAGGCTTTTAGAACATCCCAGGAGCTCTCCAGTCACCACCAAACACACACAGGAGACGAACCAGACGAGTGTGAAGAAAGAGGAGAAGGACTTCAGGTCTGTGAGGAACCGTCTGAAACACGTCCAAATGTTCCAGAGTGAAGAGAAAAGCTGCAGCTCTGACCAGTGTGGGACGACTTTGAGACGAGCCGCAGCCTCTGGAACACACTAAAGGAGAAAGAGCCGCTGAGGCCGGATCAAGTGAGACTAAAGTCCGACTCAAACAGCTGCAGATCAGGTTCAGAGACTCTGGACTGAGGACTTGAGCTCTGTACAGTGTCAACAGTTAAAGGAGTTTTATTTTTTTTTATTAGAAAGAGATTTTAGCTGAAGTTTGTTCATTTTCCATCTTATTCTTCACTGTATTGTTTTTCACTTTGAGCTCAGTAAAATATTAGAATTAGAAAATAAAATCTGTTTTAGTGTTTTGTAGATGATGTAATAATCCAGGAGACAAAACACAAGTCCAGGTCGGTTTTTGAGGAGGGAACAGCATCAGAACAGGACTTAAAGGTTGTATGGAGGATTTTCCAAGGAAGGAGAATCCAGCGACTGTTTGTCGTTTTTCAAATGTTGCTCCTGCGTGAAACCCCCCCCCACCCCCCCCCCCCCCTCCCCCACAGCTCCTACGGAGAAACACCTCCTCCCTCCTCCTCCTTACGCCACAAACAGGTTTGTTTCTAGAAAACAAGTCCTCATCGCTGCACATGACTTGTAAACAACTAACTACAACTAACTACAGTGTTGGTTTAGGCAAGACAGAGAAGTGAGGAGCGGAGGGAGGAGAGGAGCAGGAAAGGGGTGCAGAGATTCTGTGCGAATGAAGCTCCTACAACACGCAGCAGCAAGCGACTCTTTCTTTGCTTTGAAAATGACGTTTTCAGACACAGGATATCGCTTTCGTGTCCTGAAAAACGTTTGTGTCGCTCTTGGAAATAAAGTTCGTTTTCATAATCAGCAGAAGTTTCCTGTCCAGGAGTAATTTGTGGACCAGTGGTTCAGTCTTTAGACTCTTCGTCTGCTTCAGTCGCTCCATCGCTGGAATGAATCTCCAAGAATCACCTTAGTTTGGCTTCGCTGCTTTTCCTCTTGTCTTCTTCTTTCACCTCAAAAACAGACTTTCTTTTGCGGTGAACTGCTCCTGGATTCTTGTCGCCATCGCAACAAACTTTGTGTGAACTGCGAGGAAGATATAGGTCAAAAAAGCCGCTAAGAACTGTTGCGTTGGTGGAGTAAACAGCGTCTGTGTCGTACGTAAACCACGTACCGGCGGCGCAGACAAGTCAGTTACACTAGAAACGTAGGGAGTTTGATTGACAGCCTGTCAGCTCACAGATAACGAGGCAGTGTCGTTATCTACTGGCAAATGTTTAGCCCCACCACGTCCAGAGTTGATGAATTTTTATTCTCTTTTTTTTGGTCATCATAATTACAAGGCTACTGCATCTATAATCTATCACTGACAATTTGAAACTAAAAACATCCTCCATACAAACTTTAAAACTCACAGGAGTTGATTTGACATAATATAGAACCTTTCTAAACGTGTTAATCTATTATTGTATTATAATTATTACAAACCTGTTTATTTGTTCTTGGTCCTGGTGCAGAACATGAGTTTGTCGTGTTGAGCTTTTACAGACGAGTGGGAAAGTTGTTGTTTATGAACGAATGTGCAATAATCCCCAAATTTACCCCCAAAAGTTCTGTTTGTGTCCAAAATCCTGAGGGAGATTTTGTGCTGCTGTGGAAATAAATAAAAGTTTTAGTGGAGACTGAGGATTGGGACGGAGCGACAAAGGTGCTGTTTGCTCAAAGTTACATCGACACAAAACAATCACGTGTTTTATGGAAAAAAAAAAAATGAACAGAGAATCTATGGTTTTGTAAAGTATTTTTGGAGAAACTTTGTGGTGACATTTTCCTGAAAGTGTCGATTGTCTTTATTGTTTTAATAAAGAAATAGAAAAGAAGCAGATCATGAGTTTGTTTCTTTTGTCTCATGATCAAATGTTTTGTCGAACTTGAAGACGACGTGAGGAAAACAACAAGTCGACCTGAGTCCTGACGAAGACTCTCAGTCAGTCCCGTTTTAAAGCTGCACTGTGTAACTTTTCTCCATGGAGATGTTATTTCTTTGTCTGGAATGTTCCACAGTTCGGCATTAAACCTTTCTATCTCCATCAAGTTCCAGGTCAGATCTGTGGAGAGGCGACTCCGCTCACACTCACAAAGTCTGTTTTGTTTCTCGAGGGATTTTTGACTCTAAAACCTCCTGTGACTGAATAAACGTAAAGTCGAGCTGTTTAAAGTCACTGTGGAACATTTCAGGCAGAGTGGCGACGTCTCCATAGAAACAAACACATGACAGACGCCTAAAAAGTTCCACAGTGCAGCTTTAAAGATAAACACACAAGTGAAAAGTGAAGACGTGACGATGTGGAAGAGGCAGATTTGTGATTGAAGGTGGCGAGACGTCGACAGGAGGAACCTTCGAGCCAACGTTGTTCTGGAAAACATCGTGCTCCATCTGACGAGTGTGGACGGAAAAATCTGGAAGGTAAAGTCAAGAGTTTGAGAGGGAGTCAAGGTTTTCATGTGCAGAGGCTGCGAGACGAGGAAGGAAAGAGGAAGAAGATGAGTTTGTTCAAACACAACAACAACAAACAGATTTTTGTGTGTAGATAAAAAGTGTTTTCTGATATTTGTAACTTTTATCGTTAACTGAAGCATCGGAGGTGCAGAAAAACCCCGACTGTTTGGTCCTGATCCTGGAAGCAGCTCGAGGTTTGTGGCTGTAGAAGCTGAAGGAAACGTTGGGGTAAAAGTTGATGTTGAAGTTTAAACTCCGGGTCTGATGAGTTTATAACGTCTGTGGAAAAATAAAGAAACACTAAAACAACATGAGTTTATTTCAGTGTTGGGAAGGTCACTTTTCAAATGTAATCCCCTACAGATTACAGATTACAGATTACAAACCTCAAAATGTAGATTAGTCAATAATATTTTGAATCTTGTTAATTCAAGTCTGGACTTTTTTTTTTCTTTTAACAGATAAAACTTCTCATGTTCAGATCCTCGTCTTTGTTTCTCTGCAGTAAAACTAAAGTCTCTTCATGGAAACTTGGGCTCGACAATTAGAAGAACAAACATGAATCTGCAGGACGAGTTTGTTACGTTCAAGTCGCTTTAAACACCACAATATCAAGTAATCCAAAGTAATCAGATTACATTACTCACTTTAAGTCATTTATTGGATTCTGTTACAAACTACATTTTGGGGCATGTAATCTGTAATCTGTAGGGGATTACATTTGAAAAGTAAACTGTTTTATTTCCACTTTTCACCCTGTTTAACTCTGTCCAGGTGTTGCAGTTTTGCAGCAGCTAAATTCCAATGATCGACCGACTCCACATCCACATTTTATGATCTGTTTTTACTCAGGAGCTTTTCTCCCTCCAAACTGATAAACGTGGACGATACAGACTGAACATCTCCACACAAACCACCTGCCAGAAGAGCAAATGCCTGAGAGGTTCAAGAGGCAGTGAGATCAATAACACAGACGCTCCACATTCAGACAAACTGCGTCTCAGTCAGAGGAAAAACATTTTGGAACAATCTGTCTCTGTCAATAAGAGAAACTCCAACTTAAAAGAGCCGCTGAAGAAAAACCAGACGTGTGGACACTTTTAGTTTAGATTTGTTTCTTGTTTTTGCTTTGTTTAAATTTGTGGTGTTTCCTGCCGACGGACGACAGACGGAAATGTTCAGTTTTGCTCTAATCTGTCATATTTACACTGTGATGTTGTAGATGTTCATTCATCTGCACTGCCCCTGTTCAATAAAGAAATCAACCAAACCAACAGGAGGCGCCAACTCCAAAGACTCCACTGAAAGAAGAAGAAGAAGAAGAAGAAGAGGAGGAGGAGGATGTTGATGTTGATGAAGAGGAGGTCACTTCCCTGTCTCCTCCTCCTCCTCACTGTGGTTCATGTTCAGTTCTGCGTCAGGGACAAATCTGTCAACTGGAGCATTTGTCGGATTCCAAACTGTCTCTTCTTCATCGGTGAGTTTGTTGAGCAACAATCGGTGAATAGTTTTATGTTTAGTTCGTATTTGTGTTGCTGTTCGTTCCAAACCCTGCGGACATCAGCTCCAAACACAAACACACGCGGAGTGTTTCTGTGTTTGGTGCATCATGTCCCGGTTCTGTCGGTTCTGTCGGTTCTGTCGGTTCTGTCGGTTCGTCCGGAGACACAGAGACGCTCGTGTCCCTGTGACGTCATCAGACGCAGTGTCCCGGTTTATTGACACGATCTTACAAAAACACAAGCCCAAACATTTCACTTTATTTAATTGAATAAACCAGGAAAAATACAAACAGCCATGATGAGATTCTTCAGCGTCAGAAGCTCTGGAGGTTTAACCAACGTGAAGATCTGAGGAATAATCCCACAAACCAGAACAAACCAGAACAAACCAGAACAAACCAGAACAAACCAGAACAAACCAGAACAAACCAGAACAAACCAGAACAAACCCACCAGAACAAAACCTCCAGAACAAAACCACCAGAACAAACCGACCCTGCAGCAGGTTCTTCAGTCAAATCTCCTGCAAGAACAAACTCAACTTTACAACAAATAAAGCAAAACCACATCAGCAGGTTTGATCAGAACATTTAACTTTCACACATTTGTTTAAGTTTGACACAAACTAAACGTTAAATCACACGACTCATTTACATAAACTGATGTGTGTGAAAAAAACCGTTGTTTCTTGTGTCTGATGTGGTTCAGTTTGTTGTTCTACTTGACGTTCTACTACACGCCCATGTTCTGTTTTGAATCAAGTCCTGATGAAGACCAGCTCAGGTCCAAACATGTCAATAAAAGAGTTTTAATTATATTTTTCCTCGTGCGACGGGTTTAACTTTTTCTACTGTTTTGGATTTGCCTGGAATCTGTGTCTCCACCTGCTGCTGCTGAAAAACCTGCAGCAAACACAGAACACAGACTCATGATGAGTGTTCTCCCTGTGACAGAGGGGTGTTCTCTCTGTGTGACAGAGGGGTGTTCTCTCTGTGTCAGAGGGGTGTTCTCTGTGTCAGATGTGTCAGAGGGGTGTTCTCTCTGTGTCAGAGGGGTGTTCTCTCTGTGTGACAGAGGGGTGTTCTCTCTGTGTCAGAGGGTGTGTTCTCTCTGTGTCTCTGTGTCAGAGGGGTGTTCTCTCTGTGTCAGAGGGGTGTTCTCTCTGTGACAGAGGGGTGTTCTCTCTGTGTCAGAGGGGTGTTCTCTCTGTGTCAGAGGGGTGTTCTCTCTGTGACAGAGGGGTGTTCTCTCTGTGTCAGAGGGGTGTTCTCTCTGTGACAGAGGGGGTGTTCTCTCTGTGTGACAGAGGGGTGTTCTCTCTGTGTCAGAGGGGTGTTCTCTCTGTGACAGAGGGGTGTTCTCTCTGTGACAGAGGGGTGTTCTCTCTGTGTCAGAGGGGTGTTCTCTCTGTGACAGAGGGGTGTTCTCTCTGTGTCAGAGGGGTGTTCTCTCTGTGACAGAGGGGTGTTCTCTCTGTGTCAGAGGGTGTTTCTCTCTGTGACAGAGGGTGTGTTCTCTCTGTGTCAGAGGGGTGTTCTCTCTGTGTCAGAGGGGTGTTCTCTCTGTGTCAGAGGGGGTGTTCTCTCTGTGACAGAGGGGTGTTCTCTCTGTGTCAGAGGGGTGTTCTCTCTGTGTCAGAGGGGTGTTCTCTCTGTGTCAGAGGGGGTGTCTCTCTGTGTGACAGAGGGGTGTTCTCTCTGTGACAGAGGGTGTTCTCTCTGTGTCAGAGGGGTGTTCTCTCTGTGACAGAGGGGGTGTTCTCTCTGTGACAGAGGGGTGTTCTCTCTGTGTGACAGAGGGGTGTTCTCTCTGTGACAGAGGGGTGTTCTCTCTGTGACAGAGGGGTGTTCTCTCTGTGTCAGAGGGGTGTTCTCTCTGTGACAGAGGGGTGTTCTCTCTGTGTCAGAGGGGTGTTCTCTCTGTGACAGAGGGGTGTTCTCTCTGTGTGACAGAGGGGTGTTCTCTCTGTGTCAGAGGGGTGTTCTCTCTGTGTCAGAGGGGTGTTCTCTCTCTGTGACAGAGGGGTGTTTCTCTCTGTGTCAGAGGGGTGTTCTCTCTGTGTCAGAGGGGTGTTCTCTCTGTGACAGAGGGGGTGTTCTCTCTGTGTGTCAGAGGGGTGTTCTCTCTGTGTGTCAGAGGGGTGTTCTCTCTGTGTCAGAGGGGTGTTCTCTGTCTGTGTGTCAGAGGGGGTGTTCTCTCTGTGTCAGAGGGGTGTTGTTCTCTCTGTGTCAGAGGGGTGTTCTCTCTGTGTCAGAGGGGTGTTCTCTCTGTGTCAGAGGGTGTTCTCTCTGTGTCAGAGGGGTGTTCTCTCTGTGTCAGAGGGGTGTTCTCTCTGTGTCAGAGGGGTGTCTCTCTGTCTCTCTCTGTGTCAGAGGGGTGTTCTCTCTGTGTCAGAGGGGTGTTTCTCTCTGTGACAGAGGGTGTTCTCTCTGTGTCAGAGGGGGTGTTCTCTCTCTGTGACAGAGGGGTGTTCTCTCTGTGTGTCAGAGGGGTGTTCTCTCTCTGTGTCAGAGGGGTGTTCTCTCTGTGTCAGAGGGTGGTGTCTCTCTCTGTGTCAGAGGGGTGTTTCTCTCTGTGACAGAGGGTGTGTTCTCTCTGTGACAGAGGGGTGTTCTCTCTGTGACAGAGGGGGTGTTCTCTCTCTGTGTCAGAGGGGTGTTCTCTCTGTGACAGAGGGGGTGTTCTCTCTCTGTGTCAGAGGGGTGTTCTCTCTGTGACAGAGGGTGTTCTCTCTGTGTCAGAGGGGTGTTCTCTCTGACAGAGGGGTGTTCTCTCTGTGACAGAGGGGTGTTCTCTCTCTGTGACAGAGGGGTGTTCTCTCTGTGACAGAGGGGTGTTCTCTCTGTGACAGAGGGGGTGTTCTCTCTCTGTGTGTCAGAGGGGTGTTTCTCTCTGTGACAGAGGGGTGTTCTCTCTGTCTGTGACAGAGGGGTGTTCTCTCTGTGACAGAGGGGTGTTCTCTCTGTGACAGAGGGGTGTTTCTCTCTGTGACAGAGGGGTGTTCTCTCTGTGTGACAGAGGGGTGTTTCTCTCTGTGTGACAGAGGGGTGTTCTCTCTGTGACAGAGGGGTGTTCTCTCTGCGTCAGAGGGGTGATGGTGATGATGATGGGCGGCAGTAGTTCAGTTGGTGGAGCATTTGCCCACTGATCTGAAGGTTGACTGGTGTGATTCCAGCTCCCACAGATGAATGCTGTCGTTGTGTCCTTGGGCAAGACACTTAACCCACCTTGCCCACAGTGTGTGCATACACTAGTGTGTGAATGTGTGTGTGAGTGTGTGAGTGGTTCCTTGTTGTAAAGCACTTTGAGCCTTGAAGGTGGAAAAGTGTTATAGAAAAATGTGACCGTTTTCCCATGAGTCTGAGTCTGTTCTGTGTTTATATCGTAGGAAATGTTTCATGTTTATCTTTTCAGTGATTATACGAGTGCAGATTGTTCATGTGTAGGTTTAGTGCAGCTCTTTATTTTACTCATTTCACTCATGTACAGACACTTTATTTATATATTTATGCCCCAGTATCCAGGTACTATCAGAATCTCCCAGATACAGTGTCGTGTTTCTCCTAACGAGACTCTGATGTTCACATAAACACACTCACTGTCTGACTTGATGTGTGTTTAGAGTTTCTTTATTTGAAGAGTTTAAAAAGTGATTTTTCTTGACACTTTCTTTTCCTTTGTTCTAACGCAGAGCTACAAGATCCACCAACAGAATGACCTTCACATGTGACCAGTGTGGGAAGGTGTGTCCAAAAGCTTACGCACTGAAAAGACACTACAGAACTCACACGGGAGAGAGACCGTACAGCTGTGACCAGTGTGAGAAAACATTTTCGTCCTCAAGTATCCTAATAGCGCATAAGAGAATCCACACAGGAGAAAAACCGTACAGATGTGACATTTGTGATAAAACCTTTTCACAGTCGAGCAACCTCGTCACACACATGAGAGTTCACACTGGAGAGAGACCGTACAGATGTGTTGTTTGTGAGAAGACGTTTGCACACTCAAGTAAACTGGTGTCACATATGAGACTTCACACAGGAGAGGGGCCGTACGAATGCGACCAGTGTGGAAAGGTGTGGTCAAAAGCTTCTGACCTGAAAGTCCACTACAGAATTCACACAGGAGAAAGACCATACAGCTGTGACCAGTGTGGGAAGGGATTTATCCACTCCGGAGCGCTCAATGAACATATGAAAATCCACATGGGACAGAAACCGTTCAAATGTGATGTTTGTGAGAAGAAATTTTCCCGGTCGGGCCACTTAGTGTCACACATGAGAAGCCACACTGGAGAAAAACCGTTCATCTGTGACGTTTGTGAGAAAACATTTTCACAGTTAAGCTCCTTAGTGTCACATATGAGACTCCACACGGGAGAGGGGCCGCACACATGTGACCAGTGTGGAAAGGTGTGGTCAAAAGCTTCTGACCTGAAAAGACACTACAAAACTCACACAGGAAAACGACCGTACAGCTGCGACCAGTGTGGGAAGGGGTTTAAACACTCTGCTGCGCTCAATGAACATATGAAAATCCACACAGGAGAGAAACCGTTTGAATGTGAAGAGTGTGGGAAGGGATTTAGACACTCCATTGCCCTCCAGCATCACATGAGAGTCCACACAAGGGAAACAAACAGATGTGATGTTTGTGAAAAGGCATTTTCACGATCAAGTAACCTGTTAATACACATGAGAGTCCACACAGGAGAGAAACCGTACGAGTGTGACCAGTGTGGGAAAACTTTCTATAAAACATCTAATCTCAACAGACACATGAGAACTCACTCCTGGCAGATCCTGTACGAGTGTGACCAGTGTGAAAAGGCTTTTAGAACATCCCAGGAGCTCTCCAGTCACCACCGAACACACACAGGAGACGAACCAGACGAGTGTGGAGAAAGAGGAGAAGGACTTCAGGTCTGTGAGGAACCGTCTGAAACACGTCCAAATGTTCCAGAGTGAAGAGAAAAGCTGCAGCTCTGACCAGTGTGGGACGACTTTGAGACGAGCTGCAGCCTCTGGAACACACTAAAGGAGAAAGAGCCGCTGAGGCCGGATCAAGTGAGACTAAAGTCCGACTCAAACAGCTCAGACTCATCATCATCATCATCATCATCATCATCATCATCATCATCATCATCACTTATAAAACAGACGAGGACAGTGACAAAAAAACAAAACAATAAACATTTATGTCTTTAAAAGAGCCACACCAGAGTCTCCACATGTTGGACTGAATCTTATATTTGTGAGTCACTTTATTATTTCATTGTGTGATTTGTTCAGTTTGCAGATTAAACTGAACATTCAAATTTTAAATGCAGCTGCAATTTTCACTCGAGCAGAAACAAACATCTCAGTCACACTCGTCCATCGTGGCTCCTCAGAAGCTCCGTAAAGCCTCACTGACACCTGCAGTCTGTGCAAACGGCTTTTTTATGATTATTCCAGAGTTGAACTGTACAACAGTGAACAATAAGATTTAAACAAAAACAACTTTACATCATTTGTACAAGAAACAAACTTATACATCAGAGGATTTACTGAGCACAGAGCGTCCTGCACCGTCACAAGACACAAGTCAAGAAACCTCATGTGTTTATCTTCTTTGCTCCTCCAGGTCATGACCCGACTCTTGGTTGTATCAAACTTTCTCTCCTGCTCCAAACTGTGAGTCAGGAAAGTCCAGAAAAAGACTCTGTTATTGTCTCTGTCCTGCTCCACAAAAACTCTGAGCACCGACCCAAAGAGCAAGTTTTTCCAAAAGAGGCAGCAGATGTCAAAATCCTCCAAAGACAAAAGCTGCTCCAGGTCTCAGGAAGAACAGTGGACGCTCCAGGTCACTTCAAAACAAACATCAGTGAATGTGTCCAGAGACGACAGGTGCAAATGACACTGGAGCTTCAACCTGAACAAACATCTGTCCTGTTCAGGTTCATGTCCAAACTCTGCACTGTCCCCGTCTCCAACAAACATCATTGATTTGATTCTTCTGATTCTTCATATTATTTGTATTCTTCTCTTACTCTCACACTTATTATCTGCTTTATCCTTCTACTTAAAGCTGCACTGTGCTACTTTTCTGGTGGACGCTCCGCTGCCTGTTTGTCTCCATGAAGATGTTACTGCTTTGTCTGGAATGTTCCATAGTGTGACATTAAACATTTCCCTGTAGCATTTATTCATCACAGGTGTTTCTGTTGCTCACGTGACCAAAATCAAGGTGTTATAATTATTACAAACCTGTTGAATCATTTTGAAAAAGTGTTTATTTGCGTGTGTATTTCCGGTCCTGTTCCAGATGTAAAAATCCTCCAGTGGAACAAACGTTCTGTGAATGTGGATGTCGCCCTCTACAGGCGAGTCAATGGTAGAGCTCAGCTCCTCCTCCCAAAGGAAAAACATGACACTGTCTTCAGAGCTGCACAAAGAAATGGGACACAGAAAGGACTTTGGGCTTAATAAGAGACCGATTTGAGTGAGAGACTTGTTTGACTTGTTTGGATGTTCTACTTGTTTGGATGTTCTCTTGTTTGGATGTTCTACTTGTTTGGATGTTCATGTTGTTACTTGTTTGGATGTTCTGCTTGTTTGGATGT